GGGGGGAAGGGGGATGGGGTTCAGTCCTTATATTTACAAGAAATCGCGACAAGAATGAGGTCAAACTGTTCCAGCCAGTAAATAACGAGCAGAAATTTGATGTTTTCTACTTTGATCGGTAAAAAAATAGCTTCAGGAATATCGCTGGAAAAAAAAATAACTGACCTGTAAGCCCGCTGAACCAACAAGATACACCGGCAAGTCAGATTTTTCCCTCGACAACTGATACGCCAACACTTTGGCTGGTGACAGTATGTGGTCAACGGGTACCATATCGAAGCCTAACTCGCGACATTTCTTCACGTAATCTTCCAATGTTTTTGTTGAATTGTTTGTCGTAATGAAGACACTTTTGCCTGAAAAAAAAAGGTGTATTTATGCTAGAACAGCTGCTTAGAATTGTCTCTTTAAAAGAAGTAAATAACTGACAGGAAATAATCCACGAAAATCACTTCCTGTTGTCGTTAAATCCGAATCCACCAGCAACACTTCTCTGGCCTTTCACGCAAAATGCGTTATCAAAGTGAAAAATAAAATCCCCTTCGGATAAACCCTTTACGAACGCACCGGCAGCAACCACCCGCTGGCAAGACTGTTGAAGAACTCCTCTTCTGAGGGTTGCTTTGAAGCAAGCTGATGGCGGTTTTGACTTCATGACCTCCATTCTCCTCAATTTCCTTAATAAAACCCAATCCTCACCCCTCTCATTCAACATCTTACAAATGCAATTTCATACACATATATTTTCACATACACATGCAATTTTTGGTCATTCCCTCATCAACAATTTGACTTAATTACATTCAGCATGCTTCATTTTATTTTATTTCCTAATAAGATTAATTTACCATCAAAACAAGCGAACACATCATAGAGAGACTGGCTATGCTAGCGGCGGAGTCGAACATCCGACCTTCTGCACGACAACACCACTACTTGCACCATGCTCACTTCCACAAGTAAAATAAGACCGGGGATACTGTACCGAGGTACCACACGTACCCTCGGGCAGATCATGGTAGACAGTCTGTGTTTCATCCCTTAGCTGTAAAAAAAAAAGCTAAAATCTGAAATGTGAACGAAAGCGAACCAGCACTGATGAGGAAACGCAGGAAATCGGCGGCACCAGGAAGAGGGGTATCGCCAAGCCACAGCACGCCATCGGCATCGAACAGAAACGTCTGGAACGAGCTGAGCAGCTGATGTCCGGCGACAGCTTCCACTTTTGACATTACCACTTCTGCGTCTTCTCATCGACTGCACACAACCATTCCTAAAAATTCGCAAATTTTCGATTTGTGATAAAAAGACGAAATTCGCATCCTTGCAGAAAGCTTTGTGAACACAGAGCCGCCATCCACGCTGACTTCACCCCCATCTGATGTCGCACTCACATGTTATGTCTTCTTCTGCAAGCATCTTCTGATCGAATCCCCAGCAAGCTGACCATCAGGCGATGCAGCAACTCCAAGCAACTGGAAAAGTTGTCGGGTGCATAACTGAAGAAAAGAGCAGTGTATTACAACTAATCTTGGTACCACAAGTAAGTGGACCTTACTAGAATTCAAACGATTTTTCTGGATATTCGTGGCGAGCTGGCAAAAATCCAAGAGGGTGCCCATCATAAAAAAGCGCACATACAAATCAGACATAATACACACACAAACAACAGGAACGCCCAAGCTGTTTGTGCAGAAAAACACAAGGACCGGTGGTGTAGTGGTTAACAGCGCATCACAGTCCAAAAGTGGCGGGGGAACAGTGGGAATGAGAAGTTCAATTCCCCGCGCAGTCTACGTTTAAATTGCAATTCATAGTCTGATTCTCCAGCTATGCATCTGACAAATTTTTGCAGCTGCTTTGATCAATGCTGCATTGCCCAATGTTCAAATAAGAGGCCCTCTTCAAGAAAAGTTGAAGAAAAAACTCGGGAATGGGTGCTTATTTTTGTTTCCATCGGGTGCTGCTTTAGTGGAGGAAGAAATGCCTTTTGATTTTTTTTTTTTTTT